AGAGGAGAGGAGAGGAGAGGAGAGGAGGAGAGGAGAACCTTAGAACCAGAACCCTCTGCCTGGGAATCCAAACAGAAGGGAAAGCAGAACCGGTTATGTCTAATGTGTGGACTAGTGAGGGAGAGAAGGATGCAGTGAACCAAGGGTTCACAGTCGGAAGAGCCCATGTGAGTGACAGGTGTCAGAGTCCCGGGCACTCATCCACTGGGGACGACAGAGGTGTCATCCTGAATGGACCCACAGCTAGGAGCCCTGCTCTGCTTCCTCCAGCCTCTGTCTGTGATGGAAAGCTTCTGGCCTTTGTGCTGATGTGAATGGAATTTGAGCAGCTATTTTCATGAGCTGCTGGGTATATCTGTGATGTTTCCAGCAATTAAAATATTGTTGCTTCTAAGAAGCTAGGGAATGGAGTCAACCCAAGTGCCCCCCATATTACCTCCTTATAGGTGGCCTATTTTACATATTCAAGTCCAGACTCTGATCCTGTTTTTCTCGACTGCTTCAGGAAGGTTGTGTTGGCCCAAAGGAATAATGAATTCCAGATGGCAAGTAGAGAGAGGACTAGAGTGAGACTATGAATAAGAAATAAAGAAATGCAGATGGGGAAATGCAGAGAGATCCTAAGGATAAGTTCATCTAATTCTTCAGTGTGACCCAAGGAGACACTGGGTGGATCAGAAAGAAGTGACCTACCCAGAGAGACACACAGCTCTTTGTTCGGCAATGAGGATTAGAATGAACCTGTCCTCCTGACCAGTTCCCTGCACACCTCATGAATATTTCATGCTAAGCTCAGTTTTATCCATCTTGCATGTAGACGTGAGCCTCCTCCCAAACCCAGACTAAGCCTCCCATTAGAAAACACAAGAGCCTGTGTCTGGGATTGGACTTGACTTGCACTGGGCACAAAGCCCTGGGCCACTTTGTCCTACTACTGTTGGGCTCTGGAGAGGGGTGCTGCTGCCCCAGGGCTGGTGATGCACTAAGAGCTCTGGTCTGTAAAGCCCAGACCACCACACTGTCCAGTCTAAAACACACAGTGTCCACACTGGATGCTGGAGTCCACTGTGGGCTCAGCATTGCCCCTGCTTGTGCCTGTATGCCCTTCCTCATCACAACACCCTCAAGGAAGGGCTACTCTTGTTCCTATGCAGCTAAAGAGGCCAGATAACGTCCTCAAGATCTGCAAGGCCCAAAGGGCAGACCAGTACTTGCTGTCTTGCTACAACCCATACCTACTTGCTATCAGCAAATCTTCTCTCCCTTGTTCCATCCCATTCATTATCACGATGGTCCCCATGTAAAGCCCATTTCCCAGCTAAGAAAAGCATGCCCAGAAAGGAGAGCCTCATTAGGAAGTAACATCAGCCACAATGGGGTTCACACAAGTCCGTAGTGTGACTCAGACCTTGTTTAATGAAACCTGCCAGTTCTAGCATCTTCTGTTGTTGGGGCTTATGTCTCCTTGAGGTGGGGTGTGTGCACAAGTCAGTGAAGGCTGGAATCTAGAGAAGAGCGTAGGGTCTAAGGAGCATGAAACTGCATGAGAAGGCTAGGGAACTGTGGTTCAGTTTCCTGGAGTTTGGGGCCACAGTAGAACCAGATGACAAATGTTTCATTAGCACAAAGGATGAAAGTGACAGATCCCAAAGTGTACTCAGTAATTATTCCCCCCTTGTCTCAGGCATTGTGTGTCCAAGTCTCATGACTGCTGTATGGCTACATTAAAGACACTGCACCCCTGATGTGCACTTTAGTATAAAAAATACTTAGGAGGAAGGCTACCATTGCCCATATCATCTTATACATTCACAAGCTAAGACTGTGACATCCACAGAAACAGATGTTCTCACAACTTGGCTTCATAGCCCTGAGCATTGACCTTAGACTGAATGTGTGACCTCAGATCCATATCTAGTCTGATGGATCAGACAGGCCATAATTGGTATATATTGGCAGTTGTAACAAAAAATAAAATAATCATTTTGTGTGTAGGACGGAATCTTTTGTAACTCAGGCTGGCCTCAGACTTGCTACATAGCCAGAGCTGACCTTGAACTCTCAGTCCTTCTGTCTCCACCTCCCCAGTGCAGAGATTATAGGAATGCACCATCACACCACCTTCAAAAATAATTCTTACATGTTAACTCAAGATTATTTGATGAACCTACATGGCTTTCTGGATCCCTGTATTCTGGGGGGATATAAAAGACCATTATCCCTGAAAGCACAAGGGAGGGTATGTCTGCCTGGCATTCATACATAGGCTGTCGAGGTGCTGGGAGCCATCCCCTGGTAGAAGACTTTAGAAGCCCCCACTGGGCTCCACTGAGATGCAGAAATCATACAGGTATAGCTACAGCAAGCTGAAGCCCTCCAGAAAAGGCTGTCTGCTGGGGAATGGTGATGATTTGTAATCAAATTGTGTTTCATTAAAGAGAAAGTGTCCAGAGGTTTCTTGTTGGCTGCTTCCTAGCAAATTAAAGATAATGGAGTTAACAGAGAACAACTGTAAGTCAGATACCAACAAGTGACATGAGCCAGAAGAAAACTTTATCTCTTTGGATGCTTATATATGTCATGTGGCTGGAGCCCTGATTCTGTCCTTGGTCAGAAAGTTGGGTCTATGTTAAGACAGTACACCACCCCCCTGACCCTCTGACTTTGAACCACAGTCTACTCTATGGTCTTTCCTCCTATCTTGTGTGTGGGGGTTAGACAGGAGTGGATAGATATGTGTGCACAAATGCATATGTAGATGGAAAGTCAACCTCAGATGCTCCTCAAGCACCATCCACCCTTGGTTTTTCTCACTGGCAAGCTGACCACCAAGAATCCCCCTGGCTTTGCTTTCCCAGTGCTCAGACCACAAGTGTGTGCCATTGTGCCTGGCTTTACCACATGGGTTCCAGGGATTGAACTCAGGTCCCCATGCTTTCCCAGTAGGCATTTTATTATCTGAGCTACCCTTCCAGCTCCAGGGAAGATATCTAAGTGACCTGATGTCCCATTTTGTGGCCATGAGGGATTTTTCCAGAGTCCAGAAATCGAGAAAATTCTGAACATGTGAGCCCAAGCTGGCCACCCTCTTGAGCTCTTGGATCACACAATGTCCTGACTTTGTGGGATTTTTCTGTCTCTAGTGT